GGTGAACTGAGACCGTGGGCTTGGGGCTGGATACACCAGGACACAAGGTCACACTGAGTATGGCGAGAAGCAAAGGAGATCGAGTTAGGGAACTATTCTACGATACAGGTGGTTCTTATATACATCCTGAGCTGACCCTTTAGGGCACACCCTCACTGTACACTACGAGTGAACACTACAGGAATCCTTCATGGATATCCAGTGGGTCCAGCAATGGGCACAATGGGTACAAACCGCTGAGTCAACATGCACAAGACTATTCTAGAACATTCCAGACCTGATCACATGTCCCTACATCACGACCACAAGGTCACATGCCATCACGTGCCTACCACATGACTGGTCACGTGCCTATCCCTCTATCCATCCCACATCTCCATCGTCGAAGTGGCACCTGGGGCCACAATGCCTGCAAGGCGCGTACACTCCTTAGAAACGCCGAGAAATAAAGAGTTAGGTTTAGCCCGAAGGCCGTTTCACCTTGTATGCATCACCCCTAGCTTACGTGCCCTTTTCCTTTTTCATCCTTTACCTTCTCTTCTCTATGATGCGGCTCCTCTCCACTCTCCTTCACTCTCGACGTGCGGCCCTTCATCACTCTCACCCACTCACTTTTACGGACTATGACTCGATACGCATATGAATCCCCCACTTATGTGTCCACTTTGTCATCGCTTACGCGTACTCTCAGCTTGGGTATATAGGTAGAGTAGTCTGCATGTACATACCCCAGCTTTGAGATCGTCAACTCCTGGATGAACAGCTCAGAACAGAGGCTCACTCCTCTTCACCCTCACGTCTTCACGTCGCTGCTAGTGCATCAGGAAGTTATGTTTTTGCTATATAGAAGCATGCCCTTCTATTTATAATTTGATCGCTCTGATAGCCGGTGCTGGTCTGTCATAGATCACCGGGTGCCTGACCCCAAATAGGAGTGAGTGCTATAGCTCTCATAGCAGTCATATAATGTCTCACTAGGTAACGTACTGTATCTCCTGAGTTCAACGAGATATTGCTATCTTCTGTAACGGGCAGGGTTAGAGACGGAGTCGCACGAGAGTCCAGATAAGCACGAGTGAATTTAGAAGCAAGTAAGGTAGAGATCCGATACTGGTGTTGAGCTTTTATACATGAGCGTGAGTCGAGGCTGAGTAAGTACAGGAGTCGCGGGACGAGTCGGAAGGGGACGAGATGTGGGTCAACGATGTGGGCTATAAAAGAGACAAAAAGAAACCGGAATAAAGAGACACATAGGAGCGGGGAGACATTGAGGCAGCGGAGTATTAGACGAACTAGGCAACTAAGTACGAACGGAATATGAAATGATCGAAGCCGGTTAAGCCCGTTGTGGTCTTAACCATGACTCCTTCTAGGAAGTAATCAAGCCTATAGATGATTTACATCTCTGTTGGCTTCTCTTTCATGCAGGTAGAATGATTTATACTATATGACAACAAGCTTTACAGAATAATCACTGCTCTATATGCTCTGATTATGGTCAATTTCAAGCAGAGTAGGTATTTTTCTCTTATTTCATGGAATTTCCTCTATTTTTGCTCACAATACATAGAAAAGATAGAAAAGTAATTGTATTCATTGGTAAATTAGATACATGAGGATGTACAGAATATAAAGAGAGAGAAAGAAAAGAATGTGTAAAGTTGTAAGAAATTCAAGTGCCTTCCTGGACGTCCAGGAAGGCACAGCTACGAGTGCCACATGAAGTGGCCCTTGACCTAGATATCTAAATTAAATACAGAAACTTTAGCTATAGCAGAAGGGCAGGTGCAGAGAGACAGGGAGAGACAGGATGTATAGGAGAGAAGAGAAGCAGAGCTTGGATACCTAGGAACATGTAAAAACCTAAGTTTTTGTGGCCCAAAATGGGGACATGAAGAGAAGGGGATTGTGGAATAGAGATGATCTGTGGATAGAAAGGGAGAACTCACATGATTAACCATAAGAGTAAGCTCAGAAGCATACTTGGGGACCATGAAACCTCAAAAAAGAGAGGAAAAAGCGAAATTTAATCAGAGGCTTGATGAGGTGGCAAGAGATGATGCTGCTGGGAAGGAACCAGCAGATGGATAGAGATGGGGACAGTTGGAGGAGGTAGATATGACCCAGGACGTGCTGCACAAAGCTTGATTTGAGTGGTGAGAGGGCTGGATAGATGTGGAGAGGGAAGGGGGAGGTGGGGGTGATGTGGCACCAACATGGACCTGCTGCACAGTTTCTAGGGCTCTCAGAAGTGAAATTTGAGTGAGGAAGGTCAGTACTCACCTCATAGATCCTGCCCAGTCCATCAGAAAGCTCTGCATCATCTCTGAAAAAGACAAAAAAGCGAAATCAGGAAGGGGTAGGCTGGGCCACATGCCCTATTGCTGCCCAGACTTATCCCATAGACCAAATTGGCTCAAACTTTCTAGATATAAAGTAGATAGGTGGGGATGAGTAATGATCCATAGTTGAGATTGAGAGATGGAAAGGCAAAGAAACAGGAGAGCTAGCAAGATGGGCCACAATGGCTAAAAAAAAGCGAAATTTACTCACTATTGTAGCAAGCTCCAGGGTTTTACAAGTCACAAGTACAAGTCCTAGGCCTCTGTAGGCATGAAACCAGAGATATTCAAGAGAAAACTGAGCCCAAGAAGCACCAGAGACAAGAGCAGGAAGCTGAGCAGCACTGAGGAAAGGACTTAGAGCTAGCAGAGGCCAGAGGCGCCATAAACCCTAACTTAGGACTAAATTCGGAGTTTTCCGGATTTTCCGCGTGTTCAGCAGCATAGACTCATTCTGTTCCCAAATCAGGCATAAAACTGAATCCTGTGGCACCTCACTTCAACTCTGCATCTGTGCCACGTCCCATGTTTGTGCTAAGGTAGCCTGGTACTAAACCTAAGGCGTCACCTATAGCCAAACCCTAACCAAACCCAAACCAAGCCTAACCCTGTAGCTGAGGGTGTTGGCATATGAATGTGAGTACTAGGAGCGCTTGTCCTAGGGGCACTAGCCCAGAGAGAATGTGGGTGAACTGAGACCGTGGGCTTGGGGCTGGATACACCAGGACACAAGGTCACACTGAGTATGGCGAGAAGCAAAGGAGATCGAGTTAGGGAACTATTCTACGATACAGGTGGTTCTTATATACATCCTGGGCTGACCCTTTAGGGCATGTCCTCACTGTACACTACGAGTGAACACTACAGGAATCCTTCATGGATATCCAGTGGGTCCAGCAATGGGCACAATGGGTACAAACCACTGAGTCAACATGCACAAGACTATTCTAGAATGTTCCAGACCTGGTCACATGTCCCTACATCACGACCACAAGGTCACATGCCATCACGTGCCTACCACATAACTGGTCACGTGCCTATCCCTCTATCCATCCCACATCTCCATCGTCGAAGTGGCACCTGGGGCCACAATGCCTGCAAGGCGTGTACACTCCTTAGAAACGCCGAGAAATAAAGAGTTAGGTTTAGCCCGAAGGCCATTTCAGTTTGCACATATTTGTTCTCTGTTGGCTAAAAGGCGACACTTGTCGTCTTCTCTTCTTTCCCACTTCTTCTCTCTCTTCCCTCGTCCTCCTCCTCCCTCTGCTCTCTTCACTTCTTTCTCTACCTAGTCCTACTCTGCCATTATGGTCTTGGATAATCTAGGGGCTGTATGGTGTCGTGCAAGTTGTGGTTTTGAAGTAAAATTCAAAGGTCTTGCCTAGGCGTAAATAGGTTTTCTTCTTTCCCGATTTCGACTAGTTGTTCGTGGGGAATAAATTCTCACTACGATCACGAGCGATACTCTGCTGGATCTCAAGTGGCGAAAGGCTGGTGGCGTGGACTGGCGGCGTAACGTTGAAACTTAGAAATGACTCAGATTGATCTTCCGGTGATCAATAACGATGGGAGAGTATTCAACGAGACGTTTTCTCTTGAATGACTCGGCTTAGACTTGCAGACGGGGCGAGCTCAACGAGACGTCTTTCTCTTGAGGCTTCGGACAGTGATTCGACTTATCGGAAGTCGACGATTGACTTAAACTATTCACTTAGAGTAGAGAGCAGGGTCTCTCTTGTTAGCTTTGATGCAGACGCAGAGGTAGCAGCCTCTGTAGCAATAAACTGGGGCAAACTGGATGAGGAGAACGTGGTGGTCAGGAGTTAACCTGTCTTTTTTTCGTTCGTCGCTCGATCCGCTGTATTTATACCCCCCTCGAGGGAGCCGGCAGTTTGGCTAAATACATGACTAGGACTACATTCTGACTCATTCTAACTACGATTGAGTCACTGCGACTAAGTAACGCTCATCGGGACTCATAGTGACTCGGTCAGACGCATATGAGACATTC